CTCGCATGTGCCTTTTTGCGGGCGACGCAGTAAACACCGATGCCAAGAAGGCCCACAAGTTCCTTAAGGGGCTCAATCAGAGGATCCGTGAGCTGGTGGGAAGCCACGGACAGATGTCTTATGCAGATACCGTGAGTCGGGCTCAGGAGGTCGAGAGCTGTCTCATTCCATTGACTCCCGTTCCTTCNNNNAGCCTTCTCAGACTGTTGTTCAGTATGCCCAGCCTATTACCTCTGTGCCACCCAGCTCTAGCTCGGGCAAGAGGAAGTCCGACTTTCAGAAAAAAAAGAAGGGAAAGAAGGGGAATTTTGTTCATCGCGACAACTGCCCCACCGGCAACCAAACTTGCCCAAGAATACGGCAAGTCCCATGGAGGCGAGTGCCTCGCGAACCAGCACTCATGCTTCAACTGTAACCGTCCAGGTCACTATGCCAATGTCTGCCCTGAACCGAAGAGACAGCAGCAGCAGCAGCAGCCCTTCCCCTAGCAGCACCAGCAGCAGCTTCCTCCACTGCCACCCCATCATCAGCAGCAGCAGCCCCCACCATTCCAGCAGAAGGCTGGGGGTCAGGCCAGAGTCTACACCATTGCTCATGACGAGGCAGCCAACAACGCAGGTACCATGTCGGGCATGATTTCCTTATCCAATGTGCCTATTTTTGCATTGTGTGATACCGGTGCTACTCATTCTTTTATCTCTTCTCGATGTATTGAGGCCTTATATCTGTTGAATGTTTGCAAAGTCGATCCTCTCAAGGTCAACCTAGCCTCGGGAAAGATTATTATTTCTTATTCTTTACTCTACAATCTTCCTATTAATATTGGTGGACGAATTTTGGAGGCCGACGTGTATGTTATTGAAATGCGGGACTTTGATGTGATCTTGGGCATGGACTGGCTCACTCGCTATCGAGCCGACATCCGGTGCCAGGAGCGCGAAGTTGCAGTTTTTCCCGATTCTAGTCAGCCTGTCTTATTCTATGGGGTGAAGTCGAGGACTGTGCCTCGAGTAATCTCTTCTATGAAAGCTATGAAGAGCCTTTCCAAGAGTACTGTCAAGGCTATCTTGTTTCTATGGTGTTCGAGGATGATTCCGAGCGGAATCCAGAGCGAGTTTCTATTGTTTGCGAGTATCTTGACGTCTTTCCTAATGAACTACCTGGAGGATCGCCCGATCGCCAAGTCGAATTTACCATTGACCTAGTCCCTGGAGCCGGCTCCGTTTCTAAAGCCCGTTACCGTATGGCGCCGAAGGAGCTTCAAGAGCTCAAGGCCCAGGTCCAGGAGTTGCTCAAGCTCGATTTTATTCGTCCGAGTGTTTCGCCGTGGGGTGCGCCCATCCTATTCGTGAAGAAGAAAGACGGATCGATGCGCATGTGTATTGACTATCGGGAGTTAAATGCCCTTATAGTCAAGAACAAGTACCCCCTTCATTGCATTGAGGACCTTTTCGCCCAGCTGAGGGGAGCCAGTGTCTTCTCAAAGATTGACTTGCGTTCTGGCTATCATCAGCTAAAGATCCAAGAGTCAGGTATCTCTAAGACTGATTTCCGTACCCGCTTAGGCCACTATGAGTTTGTGGTAATGCCGTTCGGACTCGGCAATGCCCCAGCCGTTTTTATGGACCTTATCAATAGGGTCTTTTATCCCTTTCTGGACCAGTTCGTCATTGTATTCATCGACGACATCCTGGTCTATTCTCGAGATATCGATCAGCACAAGGAGAATCTGAGGATTGTGCTGGAGACTCTTCGCCGCGAGGAATTGTATGCTAAGTTCTCGAAGTGTGAATTCTGGCTAAACCGTGTGGCATTCCTTGGCCAAATTGTGACAGCTCGAGGCATTGAGGGGGATCCCAGCAAAATTGAGGCAGTGAGTAAGTGGGATACGCCAAGAAGTGTTGTTGATGTTCGTAGTTTCCTGGGGTTAGCAGGATACTATAGGAGGTTTATCGAGGGTTTCTCGAAGATAGCCCAACCACTGACCAACCTTACGAAGAAGGCCGTAAGGTTCGATTGGAGTCCTAAGTGCAAGGAGAGTTTCTAGGAGTTGAAGAGGAGACTCACTACCGCGCATGTCCTATCCATACCCAACCCTACTTTGGAGTTCACCATTTATAGTGATGCTTCGAAGATGGTTTTGGGATGTGACCTTATGCAGCAGGGGAAAGTCGTAGCCTATGCTTCGAGGTAGCTGAAGCCTCACGAGCAGAACTACCCCACTTATGATCTCGAGTTAGTTGCAGTCGTCCACGCCTTGAAGATTTGGCGGCACTACCTCTATGGAAGCAAGCGTGAGACCTTTACCGACCACAAGAGCCTAAAGTACATTTTCACTCAGAAGGAGCTGATCATGCGGCAACGTAGGTGGTTGGAGCTAGTCAAGGACTATGACTGCACCATTAGCTACCATCCCGGGAAACCTAATGTGGTAGCCGATGCCCTTAGTCAGAGGAGTTATGGCCAAGTGTCTTGCCTATTCACCGGGCAAGATGTTGTTCTTTGGGAGTTCGAGCGGCTACATCGAGAGGCAGTGGAGTCGACTTCAGCAGCTGGGGGTATGTTGACCACCTTGGTTGTGGGACCAATTCTTCGAGAGAGGATAGTTTCCGAGCAACCGAATGATCATTTTCTATGCCGAATGAAGGAGTTGTCGGAAGCCGGTAGAGTTGGAGGATTCGTGGTCGCATCTGATGGGGAATTGGTCTTCGAGGGTAGACTATGTGTTCCGAAGGTGTGGGAACTGTGAAAGGAGATTTTGAGAGAGGCCCATAGTGCTCCATACACCATCCATCCTGGTAGCATGGAGATGTATCAGGACTTGAGGAAATCTAGTGTGTCAGCAAGTGAAGGCTGAGCACCAGAAACCGAGAGGATTGTTAGAGCCCCTTGAGGCTCCCCTGTGGAAGTCGGATGCATCACCACGGATTTCTTGGTGGGATTGCCGAGATCGAGGACCGGGCATGACTCTATTTGGGTGATTGTGGATCGCCTTACGAAGTGTGCCCACTTTCTGCAGTTCGGACGACTATAAAGGCTATTGATTATGCCGAGTTATTCGTGGCTGAGATCGTTAAGCTTCATGGAGTACCTGTAGATATCGTGTCTGATCGAGACGTAAAGTTCACTGGCCAGTTCTAGAATACTCTGCACCGAGCCATGGGGATGAGGCTGGAGTTCAGTACAGCTTTTCATCCTCAGACAGATGGTCAGTCAGAGCGGACGATCCAGTACTTAGAGGATATTTTGAGGGCTGTGGTCTTGGACCGGAGCCTAACTTGGGAGTATGCCCTTCCGTTAGTCGAGCTGACCTACAATAATAGCTACCACTCTTCGATATACATGGCCCCGTATGAGGCTTTGTACGAACAAAAGGTTAGGACTCCTTTGTATTGGGATGAGGTTGGAGAGAGGAAGATAATGGGTCCAGAGTTTATCCGTAATAATGCAGCGACAGTTGATGAGATCCGGAAGACCATCAAGGCTGCCCAGGAGAGGCAGAAGGTCTATGCTGACTGGAAGTGGCAAGAGCATGTGTATGCAGTCGGTGATCATGTCTTCCTGAAGGTTTCACCTATGAAGGGTGTGATTCGCTTCAGGAAGAAGGGGAAACTTACACCTCGCTATATCGGGCCATTTGAGATCCTTGCTCGAGTCGGGGACTTGGCGTATCGGCTAGCTTTACCACCGGATTTGTCGGGAGTGCACGATGTGTTTCATTTCTCAATGTTGCGGAGATATGTGCATAATCCTGACCATGTGGTGGACTTCGGTGAGCTGCAGGTCTAACGAGACCTTACCTATGAGGAGGTACCGGCAGCCATTTTGGACCGAAAGGTCCATCAGCTGAGAAACCGGGCAGTGAGTTTAGTGAAGGTGCGGTGGAGTCGACACGACGAATCCGAGGCGACTTGGAAGAAGGAGGACGATATTAGGAGGCGTTTTCCAAACTTAATGTTTTAAGTTATCCTATGTGTATGTATGCTTTCTAGTTTTTTTGTTTCGAATTCCGGGGACGTATTTTTTTTAAGGTGGGTAGATTGTAGCGTCCCGTTTGAATATTAGATTTTTCCGAGTTTATTTATTAATTAATGGTACTTTATTTTATTATTGATATGTCTTGATTATGTGGTTATATATATATCTTGTTCAATTTTATTTCATCAATCGTCGTTTGAATTTTCAGTTTAATCGTCTAAGCCGAATTATTGTTCGTTTGAATTAATTTTAGAACCGTTGCGACCCGAACTTCAAAGTAATTCAACCAAACCTTAGGACATTGCATTATCATCTCTTTAAAGTATTTTTATCTGTCAAAACCGAATTAGAAGAGGAAAAATTGATTGTAGTCAAATTCTTCAGTTTTCGGTTATAATCCGATTTTAAGTCCTATTTCGGTTCCGTAAAATTTATTTTTCAACTCAACCTTTTTAGTAAGTATCAAAATCAAAGTTACTATGTTTTTTTCAGCTATTTTAAGTACAAAACCGAATCCATACTCTTTCATAAGAGTTAGAGAACCATGTTACTTGCTTTTGTCATCAAGTGTTTGTAAATGGTTAGTTTTAGGTTAGGTTGAATCTAGATCTTATGTCCCCTCATGGCATGTTCCTATGTTTCATTCCTTAGTTGTATTATATCATTAAAAACCTGAATAACTTGAGCAAATAGAGAGAAAATCGGATTTCAAGCAAGATAGGGAGAGAAGAAGAAGAACCGAGCAACACATCTTTCATTTCTCCTCATTTTCTTTTTCTTGAAGGAGGTAAGTTTTCTCTGTTATGACTTCAAGGAATTATTTTCTAAAAATATATTCTTCATATGAAATGTAGCTCGTTTCGTTAGCTTTCTCTAGCCTTGGAATTTCATGAATCCGATTTATATCGAATAAATTATGATTTTCGAAACATCGTCGCGCAATCAGTTTTTATAAAATCCCGGCAGCTTGTGTTTGCTTAATGTTTGATCTGTTTATCATGTCATAAAATGCTCAACTGAAAAGGTGACCATCATCAAAGTTGTAGATATCTTTCTTATATTTTTAATGAGGTAAGATACATGTTGATATGAGCTCTGTGACATTAGTTGGAGTTAATTTACTGAGGTGTTGTTTGTAGCATGACCTTATTCCTGTCAGAATTTATAGACCGTATGTTTTGTGTTTAAACTCATTGATGATGTTGTTATTTGTCAATAGTATCTTTTGAAATGTTGTAGCTAATCAAGTTAGAAATCTGTTAGTTTTTGAATCAAGTCATTTAGACTTGGTTTGAATTTGTTATGAATTTTTGAAGTTGTACATGCATGTTGTTTTTACATATCTGGGCAGGTTTGGTGATTAAGATGTTAGGCTGTTTTTGATGATCCTAATGTGGCTATATGAAAATATAAACATCATAAAAATTATAGTACATATTATAAGCTTTCAATAGGAGTTTAAATCATGCAATTTAGAGTTTCAGTTGATTTTATATAATTTTTCTAAGTTGGGTTTATGTCCAGAATTTTGATCCAGTGGCTGTGTATATACTCAAAATGTATGTTCTGAAATAAGGACTATAACGTGATTATTTGCAAACATTGTCTTCCGTAAAGTTGTAGATATTTGAGTTAGCTATTACAAGGTTTCTGAATCTCATTAAAAACGTGTCTATAGCTCTGGTTAGCTAGTAAATACTGAAGTCTGGTTGGTTACAAGTTCTCGACTTTTGACTGCTACTCAGTCTTGAATGTTTGATGATTTATTTCCTAGTACACGACCTTAATTGCTTTTGATGTCTTCATAAGAATTGTAGATGCATGCCTTAGGATTACATTGCAACTTGAATCATATTCATCCGAGTTATGTGTTGAAAGTTATGTTGTTTTTAAAAACGCTGCTCGGGTTAAATTTTGAAAAACGTACGTGGTACTTTCAAAAATGAGATTTCCTTGATTAAATGCTTATGTGAGCTTCGTTGGACTAAGTAATCATTATTATTAGTTGGTCATGGATTGAATAGTCATTTATAGGACTATTTTAATAAATGTAGGTGCTTGACGAGCCGAGC